CGCTCGAAGATGCTTCGAACTAGGGTTTTCCAACTGTAAAGATTCCAGATTTAATCGCCACGCGGACGGTCCCATTGGACAAACAATTAATTATTTTTACACGCAGCAAATTGCAGGCGTTCGCAAACTCGATCACTTCCACGTAGCTTCACAATAAAACAATCCGTTCATTCAGCCGACATAATAAACATACATGAGCGCAGGGAGCACAGCACCATAGAATTAAACCTCTCCAACAGCAGTTTTCTCCTCCTCCGGCGTATAACGCTTTTATCCGCAGCAGCGCGCTGGAAAAAAAGCCATCATCGGACAAGTGAATGCATCCAAGTTTCTCACTCTTTTGATATATTACGTCATGTGGGAAGTTGAAAACGCGCGCACGCTCGATATGGACCGTTGCCGCGGAGAGGTTCAAAGCGGTATGCTCTTTTGTTCGGACTCGTAACCTACGTACGTTTATACGCGGAAATTCTCTCTTTTTGCTGGTTTTGCGTGGTTCTACGCAAATGCGGTTGTGTTAGCGCGGCTAATTTTATTGCCTTTGCGTGGCAACGACGACCGATTTCTTTTTAGGCCGTTTTGCATGGGTTTCGCGAGAAAGTCTACGTGAATATACAGACATTAGGTGGTCTTTGATTTGCGCTGTTGCGACCATTAACAAATTTTCGCATTATTTTGCTAATATAATGGCTTGTTTTTCGTTGCAGACTTCCTCAGTCGTAATAAAAAATAACTAAAAAAAATAAGTTATTCAAATAGAATGAATGCATAATCTCGTTATTCATAACGCAACTCATTCGCAACGCTTTCCACGAATTTATAATGGCCATGAAAGTATGAATTTCCGGAGTTGCCGTTTCCAAATACAAAATTCGCTTCAAAGTAATGGGATATTTCGCTTTCACCTCAAAATAAACCATTTCATTTTCGCATACTAAATCAGTAGGTAATCGCACACCTCGACCTGAAAAAATAAGTTCAATTCATCATCGGTCAAATGCAACAGAGACTCAACACCCACATGAGAATCCAGACGCGGATCTCGTCGACGCGTTGCCAACAGCCGCCTGCAGTCTGCCGTGATGTGTGAGAGAACCTCGAGGCCGTTTTAAAATTAAGTGGAGTTAGTCTTTGTCAAGTAAACTCGTCTCACTCGAAAATTGGAAATAAATGAAAGTTCAATATTACAAACACGTCATCTACTTTTTTTAAAATCTATTTGTCATTTGATTGACAGTTCAGCTGATAGAAAGTTTAATTCTTGCTATCAATTACGCTTACAAGTTAATTGTTTCAAGACGATAACGTCAAGATTTGCCATTAGTTATTTTCATATTTTATCAACCTGAGTAATTTTCAATGTTTATTAAGTAGCTTCATTAAGTAGCCACTGTTACTTCATCAGTAATAAAAATGTATACGTAGAAGATTTGTTCGACGTAAGAACTGAAACTCAAATTACATTTGCAAGCTTCTACATAGAACCAAAATAAGAGTCTATAACAGCCTTCCGGCAGCAATAAAGAGAAAAACCTGTAACGATTGCAGCCCTTAATCTGTATCTCGGCAGTAGTAACAGAAGCAATGGCATTCACATTATAGTAGAGCGCAGGCACACGAGTAGAGGAGGCCGCCGCCGCCGCCGTCGCCATAGTAGTCGTAGTCGCGCGCGCGCGCGCGCGCGTGTGGGGATCATAGATGATTGCAAATTGTCCGCAATTGACAGGAAGTCGAGGGGGGCCACCGTTTTATAAGCGCGCCCCCTCAACACCTCTCTCTCTCTTTCTCTTTTCAGCATTCATTAGTCGCTCAGAGTTCGTCTCGACTGTAAAGCGCAAAAGAATTTTGTTTTCACTTCTTCCAGATTTTCGGTGGTTGTAATTTCAGTGTTTTTCAAAGTGACCGTCACCAGCGTGGTTTTATAATTAACGGTGCACCTATACATATGCCTAGCTTGTAACCCTTATCTAATCTATCGACTAACTGTACTTGAACTCGCCTGGGCTTTGTCCACACCTATAATACACTTTGCCCTTGTTTCACTCGATGATTGTAATCGAGAAAGTTTTGCCTTGCTCAAGTGTGTGTATGTACTCTAATTATATTATTATGCTCTGAAATACAATTTTACCATTGTAGATGTAACATTGAAAAAAATGGATTAGAGAATTTCTGGGAGATATATTTGGTTAATTAAAGCTCATTAAACATTCCTTTTCGATCGCTTGGTGTGCACCAATTTGACGAGCAAATTATACCGTCGACTTGGCTTTTGAACAAGATACAGTTTTTGTATGGCGATGATCAACAATTTATCAAGATCGAGATGAGAACTGATTCTTAGAAAGCTACGAAGAAACACATCTAAATTGAGCAGTAAAATATCATACCTCACAACATTGTCGAGCTAGCGTCAATTCCGCGTTGCGCTTTTTACGCCTCATTCCTCTCTCGCGCGCCTCTTTTCTCTCCCTCTCTCGTTGGCTCCTCAATGCCCATTCTTATTCCAGAGACGCCAAGTCACAATTGAAATTCCAGCGAACGCTGTTTACAGTTAAAAGGGACGAGACACCGCGTTAAGCTTGCCAGATTCATAATGGCACAAAAACCCACAAGGGAGTATGCACTGCCTCGCGCGAAATCAATGTAACCGTCGGATAATTTTTTACTGAAAGTAACGTTGTATGAAAAGGCATCGAGAAATAGTTTTCGAGAACGATGGAGAAAAAAGTAAAATGAAAAAAGCAAAACGATTTGAAGCAGCGAAGCGAGCGAGTTTTACGAAGCATGAAAGTATAATGGGATGTACAGTATGGGTCGAGTAGCTCGCAGCCTATAATGATCGTTTCTTACTGTTTTCTCGTTATTACAGAAGTCTAAAAATTCTTCATTGATTATTACGTTGAATACCCGACACGTCGCTGTACCACACCCATCCGCACCGTGTAAAACAACGACCTTGTAAAACATTCGCGGGAGAAGTTGTTCCTTATAATTAGGAATTCGCGCCTTGTCTTGGCAGGCTATTAACATGAATAAGACTGCACATAGGCACACTTGGCGCGATAAGACGAATCAACGATGATAAATAAAAACGAGAGAATTGCCTAGCCGCTTCTAGTCGATTATACTCTCCATTGGTGCAGTACTTCTGAATGGCATAATTACGGTGGTTTAGTAATTTCGTTCTATTTTTTTACGTTGACTATATCGAAAAAGTTGTCTTTTAGCTTATTTAAAATATTTTATTTTATGTTCGTCGGTGCAAGACACCATTTTCAACATAAAGATCACGAAAGCCGCAGAACACATAACGTTTTTCTAAAGCGAAACCTCAATGCTTTCAGTTGTCCAAAGTACTCCCAAGAAAACTTTTCTTTCAACGAAATATGCAGCATACGTCATTTATATAAATGCGATTGCGAAACGTACAAGCAATATTCTAAAAGCAATCCAAGCAAATATATAAAAGAATGAAAACAGTGAAAATGATTTGGTATTCGACGGATCGCCTCGAAGAACAGCTATTTAACAGCTCTCCGCACTAAAACTCGAGAATAATTCATCAGCATGTGCTACATGCTGATACGCACGCAAACAGGGGATTTTATGCGTAGCGTCGTCGTTGTCGTTGCGCTACCACTCCCCCAGAGAGAGAGAGAGAGAGAGAGAAAGAGAGAGAGACGCTGAAATCCGATTCAACCATCGTGTGTGCCAGTTGATCTTCGTAGCTACTTGAATGTCAACGCGCGGTTTCGTAATTCATCTTTAAACCAGGAAGGGTTGACGCTCAAGTTTTGAAATAAAAAAAAGAAGTAGGTTATTCCACAGAAGAGAGAAGTTTTTCAGCAGTCTTTTTCCCGTACTGGCGTGAAATGTCGCACTTCTTTACGAATTCCCAAAAGAACGAGACTTTCGCTGGCAGCACTGGATTTTTTTTGCGTCTTTTGTCACCTTTTTCCTCTCTATGTTCTATTCGCAAGCGCTGCTCTAAAAAAAAATGAGAAGAGGAGGAAGAATACTCTTGTTCTACATTTTTGAATGTCTTGTTTTTATGTTTTCGGCAAACGTGGGATGCATTGTACAGGCTTTATAATGAACCGTTGTGGATTTGTAATTGTTTTTCCTTGCTGCGACCGGAAATTAATGTTTTCACTTGAGTCGAAATAAACATTTTCCTGACTGCATGTATAATTTGGGCACGAATCGAGGAAGAAAAACGATGATATCGGATATTTACTTTATTCTTTGGATTTATTGCATTTATTCATGCTGCTAATGAATGAAGAGCTTAATTAATTACTTCCAATTCATATTATTAATTTATTCAATTCGAGGCAAAAAACGAAAAGAATTTCGTCAAACAGTAACAGTAACAGTAAATCTAAATTAAGCAATTAACGGCAAGCCTAAAATTGAGCATCTCTGTGAATTCGTCCATCTGACCTTATAATCGCGTTCTAAAGGAACCGGAAACGTCCAGAAAAGGTCTTTGATTAAACATGTGAGAAAAGAAACAACACTTAAGTTTGAGCGCCAAGCAAACAAGCACGCAAGGAAAAATGTTTGAAGCGTCCCTTCAAAGGGAAACCCAGTCTATACATAAGAGTCAAGAAAACAGCACGTACACACTGTCGTTTTGATGTCCCGTTAGAGGACCTACAAGTATCGCGGCAGCAGACTGCGGGAAATAGCGAGCGAGAAAGATAAGATGACGATGATAATGGAGTAATTTTAGGAATCACCTAGATTCAATAATTAATATCCTCGTGAATTGTCGGCGACATCTCACGGAATTTAATTAACGCTCGCACAAAAGCGCAGAGGGATGTAAGAGCAGGGCGTACAAAGGCGCGCGCGTGTTAAAAAAGTATAGCGAGGCAGAGCAGCGAAAGAGATGGTGCGAGAGAGAAAGAGAGGAGAGGGACAAACTAGCAGCGGGACCGATCGGCCTCGACGTATAGCAAAGTAGTCGACCGGCTTCTTTCTCGCCGCGCGGAGTGCGCAGTGGTGCGTCGTCGCTCCGTTTTTGGAATTCCTGCCGAGCCAGCCGCAATACGTGCCGTGCTATGCTTGCTTTTCTTGTGTTATATGGTCGCTGATTGGTTGGTTGTTGCGCGCCAACGTAAAACTTTGTGCTTTGCTTGTTGCCGTTCTACCACTACTAGCTTGTCGAGTAAGATATTTTTCTTTCTTTCTTTTTAAACCTAAAAGTGTGTAAAACGTTGCATAACGACGTTGTTATCTTCTGAGAGTGTCGATTGTTCAAGCTATCGTGTTTTTACGTGGGGGTGAACGTTTTTTCTATATATAATTAAGCGCTGTTCGTAAAACTACATTTTATTAGAGGCAAATTTTTGTAAAAGTTAGTCATTACGGCATATAATCGATTGACTTTTACGGGCATTCGACGAGACATTCACTTTTTCTTGCGTTTATGAGTACATAATTTATAAATACATTACATTACTAAATTATTACAAAAAAGCTATATTTCCTCTCAAGATTCTTTAAGAGTAGAAAAATACTATTAGGATATTGCTATACTCTTATGTAGCATGCATTCGGTCTGGTACTCGTCAAGCGCTATATTTACTCTTTATTTTACAAACAAATATTTTTTTCGGTTTGGATTTTATTACGCAAAGAAACGAAAAAGAAACACTTGTCCTTACAGATTTTTTATAAGTGTCAATAATTTCATATAAAAATACATTTAAATAATATCCTTGGTCTCGAATCAACTTGGCAAATATTTTAATTTTTATCAATCGACTTTTAAAGTGTTACGAGTTAACCGGTTGAAAAAAAATTGTTTAAAAGAAATCATTTTATGAAACAAGTTTTTACGATTGACCGAATCGATCAAGTTTCGTATCACATTATTCATAAAATTGCTATAAAACCCGACGCGACAGTGACATTACAGCATTTTAAATTCAACAGTTTCTCTTCTCGCACGATAAGATCAGAAAGAACCCCTGAATTAATATTCTTCGGTCAAATATATAATCAGGTTAAGGAACAATCAACCTAAAAACAAAGTCTTGACTTTCTTCGAACACATAGAAATTTTTTGAGGGTCACACGTAGGCGAAAGAAATACGGTCGTTGCATCGTAAATTAGACCAGTTAAGCCGACGCTTGTTTTTCACGCTAATTAAAAACGCTAATTCCCGCACTTACGCGCCTGATGAAGCGCTTCCTGCGCTCATCACTACGCTACTGCTACTGCACACACGAAAAACAGACAACAGCACTGGCGTGTGGGCTGGGTTGACAGTAGAAATTTTCGGGCCCTTTTCGACACATTGATGCAAACATATATTTAACATTGATGTTAATTTATTTGACGCAGGTGCGGTTGTTAAGCCCAGTCGAACGTCTTGGTATACACTTTCACTGCGCGGTGTATTTTTATATATATATTGCTCGAGTTACTTTGCAACTTTCTAAAAAAAAAAAAATTCATCGTAGTCATATACATTCCGTTGAAAATTTTTTGTTTGCTTACTCAATGCAATTATGTTTGAATAAATGGTTTATATATTTTTACGATTAATACATCCTTGATTAAAATCAAAGCTTGAATTTCAATTACTTTTTATTTGTAACCTTTTTTTTTGAAAAAATCGCAGTTTCCTTTACAGCTCACAGAATTCGTGGATTATAACGGATTATTTACATCTTGCGATCGATGGAGTTCCTCGATATAATTGCCACGGCACTTGGTATAAACTGAGGCTAACCGTTACATCAGATTGAAAAACGTCTTATTTCGCTTGCACGTAGTTTACTCTAATGGAGTAACACAATCAACGTAAATCGGCAATCATTATTGTAATTTTCTTATTATTTCGTAACACCTTTGGGTCACATACGCTTGCATCTCGCAGTGAGAGAAACCAGAAATTCAAGTTTAAGTTCGGTCGACAAAGTCTAGGCAAATATTCATTTGACAAATCGTATCACCGCGATGATCAATAAACAAACGATATCTCGTAATTTCGAAATCAGTGTTGTATCATAAGACGAATCATGGTGTATTAGTGCTTGATTTGCATATACTGAATGTTATCTAAATATCATACTGCGATTGATCAAAGTTTAATAGCAATCAATTTCTCTCTTATATCACAGAAGTTTTTAGAAAAATAATTTCGTCAACGCTTCATTTCACGAAAAATCGTTTAATTGAGATTTAAAAATAACTAAAAAGCGTCTATTCTGAATTTCAGATAAAAACGAGCTCGATCAGCTTGGACAAGTGCAGCACAGTGCAGTCGCAGAAGGATGGGTCGAACTGGCTACACGTGCATCAGGCACGTCTTCTGCTCACTCAATGTCCTCATTTGGGTCAGTAGGCTTTTGCACAATGAATTATTCCCTATCTCGCCAGCGTGTCACGCGAATACTAGATGACTTTTAAAGGATTGCGCTCGCGCGCCTGCTTTTCGTTCCAATAGTCGTTTCCATCTCTGCTCGGAGATTGCAATTATGATCCTCCAGGATGAGATTGCTCCATGAATTCATTGAAATAATGAATTGTCAGTGATCTTAACTTTTTACTTGGCATTGCTTCATTTAATTTGCTCGATGCAATTTCATGGAAACGTCTAAGCATTAATAGCACAGCTCGCGAACTATACAGTCGCCGATGCCATTATGGCAACATTAATAAATTATATTGAGTGAAAGCTTGCATAACTTTAACAGCCAATACGTTTTTTTACGATACTTTCTAATCATTCTATAATAATAGCCAAGCAGCATTATCCTTCTTTGCTGCAGCAAATGCCATGCAATCAAGTTAATTGATGCACACACCCGATTGGCATCATTCAATAAATAAAATGTGAAGGACTTACACAACGATGCTCGTTAATCAAAAAGTTCATTCGCTTCTGTAAGTATACAAGCGAATAAAAAGATGACGAATGCATTCGTAAAACCTACCGCAGAGCCAACAGATGAAAAAAAAATAAAACAGCCGTTGATCGGTACGCACCGCGGCAATTTCAAGGTCAATGCTGCGGAAAAGCGGGCTAATTGCGAAAAATAAATAAAATAGGAGCAGTAGTAATGCGAGAGTAGCGTGCGCGGGTTAGCTGCACCGTTACGTTATATACAGTCAGACATATCCTCTAAATTCTCATCAGCCTTTTTCCGCTAATCGCGCATCTCTTCTCCCTCTCTCTCACTCGCCGATATTTATGCGCGCGCGTGAAAGTAGCGAGCGCGTTCAATTACGCCGAGGGTCTCTCCGTATGTAGAAAGGGTTACATGTGTTTCGTGAGTCGAAGGAGAGATTGAGGGATAAAATTGCCGTGTTGAAAAAATCTTTAGTCGGCGAAGCGATAAAAATTGAGACGTTTCGCCGGCTGTGTTGTTACGTCTGTCTCGCTGTGCTGTGTTACGTACAGGATTTATAGTGAGCGCAAACGGTATACGTAGTTGCGCATTTAAGAATCGAAAATAATTTGGTAAATTGGTCATAAATGTGTTTTTTTTTAATAGAATTGCCCCTGCGGTTAGAGAATGAACACGGATTTGAGTTTATTCGAAGCGTCGAAAATCATGTATTTTCCGAGCCTTAAGCAGAGAGAAGCTAGGTAGAAAACTAGGTTGAACCCGTCGAAACGTGGCTGCTTGCCTTTTAGCTTCGCGCGCAATCGAAAGGCTCTGTTTCTAGCGTGAGGCACTTTCGCGCGCGAGGATAAAGTGACGTTTTTCAGGTCCGTGGTTCGATGCTTTTCTAATTCGTCCTTAATCCCTCATTTTCGAATCGACCCTGTAAACCTAATTTTTTCTTTAACAACCTAATTTTTTTTCTTCAAATAGAAGAGAAAAACGATTGTTACGCAACGAGTTTGTACTTTCCAATCGATTATATTTAGCTTGCAGCTGGCGAGAATTAGCACAGCTCTGCAACAGGTGTAAATCAACGAACGAGCCTCTCTTTTCAATTGGATCAGTACACGTTGCTGCCGCGCGACACTCCTTCGGCTTTTTCCGAGGCGCGGCCCAAATTTAATTAAAGCGATGATGCGGTATGTCGTAAGAGAATACAGATCTTCGTACACAGCTGTTGCTACTTATTATTCAACGGAGTCGAAATGTACACGTGGCACGGTAAAGCTACGTTTTACGCTATACACTTACTCAGCAGACGCAGACTGGATTCTTTCTTCTCGTTTGATTGATCCAGAGAGAAAGAAAGAGAAAGAGAGGGGGGGACGAAGCCGGAACAGTTAGCGGAATTTTTGAAGAACTCATTGTGTAGTGAGGCTATATTTTTAAATTATTGTTTTTCTGCAAGTTTTTTTAACAGAAATTATTTGAAGGCTCCGTGTCAGCGATAGCTTTTAAAATACAGCAGTCCCGTCGAAATGGATTGTTGCATCGAAACTTTTGTACAACACTTGAATGCATTTTTAATGAACCAGGTATTATATTGATTCACTAATGAGTAATTTAATTTAATGCGATCGGATCAATGCCCTTAAATCACGAATACTGCACTTTTTACTATTTAAGATCAAGAGACATTTAGACTACCGTTGTTTAATTAGAATTGGACTGCACATTAATTAGAAGCTTCAATTACTGCAGTAAACGACCGAACAAAATTACGGCTTTTACGGCTTGTTAAATTAATAGAAAAAACTTTCTTTTATTTAATACAATGTCATCGTCTGGTCGACGAGTTACTGCACTTCAAATCAAGTTAAATGGATTTATCAAGATCATAAAACATATTCGATACAATTGGCGTAACATTCGACTGCACCCAAGACTTAAAAAAAGTCATTTATCCGTTCATGTCAAAGTCCATTTAAATTGATATTCATTCACATTCACGTGACCAAAATACATCATCGATTCCCCGCGTAACCTCGAAAAATATCATCCTAATCATTATAAAAATGGACCATCTCATTATCTCTTTTTCTCTCTCTCTTTCTCTTCGATAGAAAATCTTTCACGCGCGTTTCAATCATGCGGCTTTCCCCGTATGTATACGCTAAGACGCGAGACTCGACATCGATGCGCGCCGTTAAGGATAATATCGCGCGAGCGCGAGCATTTGAATGCCGGGAAATTGAAGTCGTAGAAATTGCGGTAATGCCGTGTTAGGGAAAGTGCGATGATCGGCTAAAAAGATTGATGATTTGCAGCGCGTGCCACGACTTGATTTATCACTGGCTATTGCGGGCTTTTCGTGTATGGAAAACGGTAGCCTTTTGCCATGTCAAAATTTAATGAGTTATGGTAACGAGGGCCATTTATTTTATGAACAGAACGATCATTCCGAAGAGAGAGAATACAAATTGAGTTCTTTTGTTGTATCAATGTTATATTTATGGCTTGTACAAAGCAATAAGGTAGCTGAGAAAGAGATGTAAATGTTTTATGCAATTTTTTTTCCTTTGATGATCCGAAAGTTGCGTGCACTTGAATTATCAGATCGGCGCAAGATTTTTGAAGCTATGCAGGCATTGTTCTATATTAATTAATAATGTACCAACTCAGTAATCAGCTTGCTTACCCATTGTGTTTTACGTGGTCTAAAAACTTTACTGTTAGGTGATAAGAACAAGAAATACGTTTGTTTATGATAAGCCTACTTTATAAAGTTATTTCAAGAAATGAAATACTTCGAAACTCTGCTATAAGGCGAAGCTCCAAAAATCCAATTCTGAAAACGGTCACTCCCAGCCCAATTTACCGCAGCAGGTGATCTCATTAGCCGGAAAACACCCTGGAGGGCTATCGTATACTCGATCCTAGCCTAGATAGATTTCAGTTAGGCTATACGGTTTGATGGCTAGTGCATTTGTGTGACGCAATCTGCTATAATTAGATGCTTGAATTGGTGCCACTGGAAAATTAAACTTATGTATACCGCGTAGGTTTTGAAAATATTGGGAAAAGTTAGCGTAACCACCGAGGACTCCAAATAAAATTCATAACAAGCGAAAAAAATGAAAAGTTCTCCTACCGTATATAGACACGCGCCAATTGCAAAGATCATTGCATCTTTTCCTAGTCACTCTGTTTCAATTATACGTTTTGCATTCTTACGATAATAGCCGCAGAGCGAGAATCGACATGAATTGGTAACAAATTATAACGTATATGACTAAAAGTGGCAGGAAACTTTTCACAATGTAATGCATTTAAATTGTAGACAAGAGTCGCGCACATAGTTATTCCTCTTGCTATTTTATGGCAAAATTATTCTCGGTACAATCACTTCGTTTGCAGTCAATTGTACCCGTGTTTCAATCATCGACGATGTCCATTACGATCGTTAAGTGCGTGACCTTTTATTACTGAAAGAATCATTATCACCTGTAACTGTAATTAGCAATGACAGGTCGATTTCGCTTGTGCTTTCGTTTGCCATATAAGTGTAGATTTAATCGCGCTATGGCTTTTGAACTTTCCTCAGATAATTAACGAATCTTAAGTGGTAATGCATGATACCCACCTTAGATCAATCATTTCGCCCGAGCGGATGCGCTGGAAAAAGTGTCGTAAGTAGTCACGTTTATTGACAACGAAATTAACTTTCGTTCCGGCTCGTTGCTTAGTGATTGCGGTGCAGACATTTGCGTGAAATCGCTCAACCAGCTTTCAATAATGTCCGTCGTTTTATTTCTTGCGTGATATTCGATTGAAAGATGTGTCGCTTCAATTTATTTAATAAATTGCGGCACCAAGTTTGTGAATATAAAACGTACGATTTTCTGCTTGTGGTTTTCACGGTCGCGGTTTATTCATTTCAAAAATGAGCAAACCGCAAATGCAACTTATTACAGAACTAGAAAGCTACGATGTTTCGTTTTCATCGCCAATATTTTATGGTCAAAAGAAAAGTCGACTTAGTTTCCGTTGAAGACACTAGGCGAAACTGAATTCTGTGCCGTTTTTTCAGTTGTGTGCCTGTGGAATGCTGGGTGCTGGACTGTGGATGCGACTGAGTCGCATTCACTATCAGTCTTACGGGACATTTTTACCAGATGTCAGTGAATACGTGTCGTTGGACGTATTGGTGTTGTCAGTTGGCGCACTGACCTTTGTCGTGGCTTTCTTTGGTTGCTGCGGCGCTTGGTTCCAATCGCGGTGTCTCCTCGTTATGGTACGTTTCCTTCTCATGCGTTCGATAGATACAATGAACAGGTTTATTTATTAATTTTATGATTTTATAGTATTTCGGGCTGGTGATAATACTATTCATGTCGGAGTTCATGATTGGCGCGCTGGCATTTATTTTCAATGAGAGTATAACCAAGACGATAAGGTTCCAACTTGGAAACGGAATAGTAAATCACTATAATGACACGGAGGCGATGGAGACCGGTACCTTCTCGAACATGTGGACTGTCATACAAAAGCAGGTGAGTATTTAACGTATATATATATATATATCAAATGAACGCAGTCTGCTTTTTTTATGCATCATTTCTTCCAACACGTTCTGAACCAGCTGAGATACAGGTATATAAAACAAGACGCCCAAAGCTATATGGTCGCGCGCGCGTAGCTTTCACTCGGTATATATTGACATGCCATTGTTCTCTCTCGCAGTGGATCGAAAACAATGAAAATAAAAAACCAACAACTTGGCAGAAACGGGATCCCTATACTAGCGCGCACGAGGGATTCCCGATGCTATCACTTGCGAGTTACTTCAGAGACCCTTCTCGCACGAGCCACGGTCGAACGTATTTTATCGTCCGGTCACGAAAACCGACTGCAGCCGTCTCTAATGCTGATATTAAATGAGAAGAAAGTTTTTACTGAGCGAGATAGTCCGACGTGTTTTACACACTGTCTTACTATAGACTTTTTTACGTTTTTTTCGCTGTAATGTTTCACCGACAATGTTTCAATTATGACTTTGTTAGGAGTTGAACAATTTTGTAGTAGAAAGTTTTTTACGACGTAAAATCTTGATCCTTGATTAAACTGACCATGCCATCTTGATATTCCAGTACAAGTGTTGCGGAGTTGATTCACCTGCTGATTGGTATCACATTAACAGTTGGCGTGACCACAGTTGGGTACCTGATTCTTGTTGCAAACAACCAATGCGTTACTGCGGCCGACAATATGAAGGAGATATAAATCTGAATAAATTCTACGACAACGGTTGCATATCAGCAATTCAAATGGAACTGATGCAGAATCTTCATATAATTGGAGCAATCGGTTTGACAATTGGATTCTTGCAGCTGTTCGGACTCATCTCCAGCATGATCCTGTTCTGCACGGTCAGCCACAAACGATCCACGCACACCTACAAAAGTTACGACACAACGACGACCTAAGTGTTTTAACTAAATATGCCTATGCTTGCTCTCGCATATTTTTATTTCTTTTTTCTTCTTTATTTTTGTTGACGAGCATCATCCATCTGCGTTTCTCTCTTTTCTCTCATGTCATCTCAAGCACGACAATCAAAATATCCATCATTTGCAGATAAAAAAAATACATATATAAGCAAAGGTCGTCCGCTGGGCCGTTGCTAGATTTAAGAGAAAAAAACAATAATATTTTAAGAAACAACAAAAACTGCAGCGTTGCACGACGATTGTGTAATTATTGTGTTAACGCATGTTCCGCAGCTCATCGACAGGCGCAGCAAGCATGGGGACGTCAAGCTCTGCCGATTCTGGATCAAGAGCACTGTCTAAGAGCTTATGACGAGTGATTTGTAGTGTATACCCTCTAACCTCTCTGTTTTTCACTCTCCTGATCGTTACCCTACCCGACCGTTTTTTACACGATGACGACGACCACTTTTTAAAACGACACTAATATAACACTACGACGACGACTCTTTGCTACGGATGGAGTATCTGTTTATACATGTATATGTATGCTATTATATTATTTCTGCCTACGTTGAATCTGCTTTGTGAGTGGAACTTTCTTTTCTTTGGTATAATGCTACTGTCGGAGATTTTTTAAAAGAAACTTGTATGTATTATACGCTGCCAAAGATTCCTACTTTATCGATCTGAACGTACAAGATCGGTATTATTTGGGACCGATGATTTCTATTTTTCTAGTAATGAATGTGTGGTTGATGATGGAAAGTTATAATTTATTAATCTTAATTATTAACTCTGTTATATTGATGAAAATAAAAATGAATATTTTTCTTATGCAGCCATGCATTTTGATTGATAATCTGAGGTGTAGAGTTACTTTATATATTCCTATTTTTCAATTTGGTATATTCAAAGATTTTACAAGAACGACTTTATAAACTAATGTTAAGATTTGTTATACAAATTCTGTAATGTGCCAAAAGATTATACGAAAATATCCTTCATCTATCAACTAATTTCATGAATTTTTCAATTAACGTGAGATTCAAATCTTCGACAGAGCATCATTTAATAAAACTAGTATCTAAGTGAATACGAGTGAATTCAAGAATTCGTTGTGAATGAAAAAAAGTGCTTCAATAATGTTGTGATCGTGGTAATGTAGAGTCTAAATTCACAAATCTACGAATGCATTGTGATATGTTTGCACCCATTAGATAAACTACAGCGAGAGTTTACACTGTCTATTACGACGAGTTGTCGGGTCAAGAGTATGCACAATCCGCATGTAATACATATACAATTACATTGCGCATGAAGATGATGGATCGTGTTGCTATAACTCTGATGATGGATCGCGTATCGTTAAGCAAGTCCGGTCGCTCTCGAAATCAATGACAGGCACTGTGCAACTGAAAATGGCGTTAATAAGAAGTGTCTAGTCTATTGATCTTTGAAATAGCCGCAGTCGAGTGCTTTTTAATGTGTTTGTTAGATCCTCATTTTTTCAATCTCAATTTTATGTCTTCTGTTGATAAATTTCTTGGTTTTGATTGTTTGATTTTCGTAAATGACAAATGGAATTGAAAAACCGAAAATGTAGAATGATGTGCCATGAAATATGTACAATACTTGAATTCGAAGAATTAGCAATATCTTTTTGATTGTCACAAAATGATTATTTGAGACTATTCCATGGTGAAAAAAGGCCTGACAATCGTTAAATATGTGAATACTGCTGATAGTTGACAATATACGTTTAAAACAACTGAATTTTGTATATTTTGTGATGTGAATGTGAAAGTGAGTCTGCAAGAATACTCGCACCTGCAAATTTTTATCTAAAAATACACGTTAGAAAACGCAGAGTGAAACTATAAAATAGTTTTCATTTAGCAGGCGAGTTTTCTTAAAACTATAATTACCTTGTAAAAATCTAGCAGAGTTCTAATTAGTCTGTAGCAATATTTAGTTTAGTAATTCTCTAAGCGCGTATAATCTGCATTTAGCACGAGAAGAGTCCGGCTAGTTAAAGTATATCTATTTGTGCCCTTTCTTCTTTCGCGAACAGCAAATACGTCATATTAGCGTATAAAAAATAATAAAATAAAAAGATACGAACATGATATCTCTACAAACCGTGAATAATTCCTACTTTGTCAATTGTAATTGTTGTAATGTATAACAATGCAACATCGTTCTCAAGTATTTCTTCTACTAAATTAAAAATGTTCATTTATATAAAGAAATTGTTTTTTTCTGTCTCGCATATCATTATATGAATAGCGACCTAAATATTATAAAAATATGTGTGTGTGTGTGTACACGCGCAAACACATACATACACACGCACATGCATTTTTAAATATATATAATAAACAATATATAATTTAGGTAATGTTGAATTTTTATAGATATTATTGTATACTTGAGATATAATACGCGATATGCTTGGAAACGTGATAGTATGATTCAATGTCGAAATGAGATTCGACTATTGCTATTATCATTCGCGTTTCGCTTGTTAATTTGTAGAGCGCCAAATAATCGGATTATTATGCTAAACTGGATCGAATATCTGATTTGTATTATGTCACTATGTATATTGAAAGAAAAATTATAAAATCTTTGTTAAAACTATTATATTAAAAAACTTATAAATACACTTTTTATAGAATGTATGCAACAATGTTCGTTAACCTAAACATTACATTTATACAAGTTTCATACTCCTTATATATAATAAATAACAAAAAAGTTTGTTAACATTAGAATACTAAGTTATCATTGTAGACCAACTAATTTCGATCCAATTTGATTCAGCGCTTCAGTGATGCTTCGGGACGTGTTTTTAGCAGCTTTCACTGGAAACTAAAATCAAAAGAAATAATAATAACAAGTTGTGCAGCTTCATTTTTGAAATAGATTATTGAAGATTACTTAGCAAGCCGCTAAAAAAGCTTTTGTGGCGTAATATTTTGCATATATTACGCCACAAACAGAAGAGAATCTACTTAGAAATTAATACGAAAGCAGAGCTACCACCGACATTTGCGTGCGTGTCAATTACTCAATTGACCTATATCTCATTACTAAACAATCATTACCCGGTTTTTTTCTTACTTCTCTTGCTCAACGTTCCATAGATAATGTTATGCGTAGTCGATAAAAAATACAAAAATGTAATATTATATTTTAGCCTAACTAATTTTAATGTAACTAAAAAACCGATTATTCAAGATGCTATATCATTGTAACCAAGTTGTGAAGTATGTTAATTTAAAAAAATAATTCTTTTTTATATGAGTTGGACAACTTACATCGACGATGCCATTGATGAAGTTACTTAACCCTTCGAAGCCATTGACAAGTGCCCGACCTAATCCGATGAACTTGTCACCATTGTTACCGTATTTTTCTTCCTCTGTGATTTTGTCGACAATAGGTTGTGGCTTGAATACGTTCTCCAGAAGCGAGCTGATAGGATTGAGCTTCTTATTTTCCAAGATAGCTTGATCTTTTTCATTTTCTAATCTAACGGTTTCACGCGTTTTGGAAGGAAATAATTGCCCTAATGGACCATTCTCGTAAGATTGAAGAGTACTACGACTCTTGGCGTAAATATCATTAGCTGCACCTATGGCACCGGCGACGTTGTTTCGCGCTTCACTCATAAATTCCTGAAAAAGTCACTAGTATAAATAATGTTGCATGGGTACACGTAATAATACAATATGAATAAAGTTACTTTAGCAGTGGCAATTAGTTTACGTCTCCACTAGTAAACATACGACTTCTCTTGACAAACTAGATAATGTATGAAACATGAATTTAGTAGTTGGTAGCAATATTTTCATTTGAAAGATTAGATAATACATTGGCGAAATAATGAAAGTGGTGATATGGCAGTTAAGAAACATTGATGTCATTTTTAGATATCTAGATTTTTGTTTTAATCAAACAGGTTTTCCAAGCTCGCTACGCTCTATTTTTTTTTACTTTAAATTTTACTTTTCATTTGAAAGATCAGCGTAATTTTCCACGAATTTGAGAAATAAAGTCATAATTTCGCAAGGCGAAAGCGCAAGAGGCTTATTATGCGCGCGGCATTCACGCAAAATCGTCCTCGCAAACTCTTGCAAGCAAAGCCGCACGTCTACTTTAAAAGGGAGAACAAGAAAAGTGTCGACGATTATGATACGATGCAATTGTTTTCGCACTCGACAGTTTGCCAAAGTGTACCAAACGTATTTACATTCGTGTAAGGATTAAGAAAAGAAATAATATATTCGAGTGAGTAAAGGTACGTATGAGTACATGTAGAGTGAAGAGATGTAGGACTGAATTTGCATAAGTATTAAAGCAACAACCAGTTCATTTTTCGTTCTCGAAAAACTTTTACAATGACTTTCAAGAATATTTTTCAAGCAGCGTGCTTGCAAGAATAATTTTGAAATGCCCATACACTTATATTGAGCGTAAGCTATTGAAATCATATAATGATAATTATTCGTGGAAACTATAATTAACCCAATAAATAATTTGTCTTTATTAACCAATAAAAACATTGATATTTAGATTAATCCTTTGAAAAACATTTCAACAAATCAATTAATTAGTGTAAATAAAAAGCATAAAAAATGAACAGAAAGAGTAAAAATGAATTTTGTTAAAAATAGTTATAAAAAATATCGGCACTTTCAAACCTCTACGTGATTCGACGAAATTCAGCCCTATACTTATTTCATATGCAAGCGATGATTACACGGTATTATATACATGTAAATTAGAGCTAACAAAAAACATAATATTTTACAACATATTAAGCTTTTTTAAATACATGGCACCATCAACAATTAATTACCTCAAGTCGCTCAGCCAAGACATTTTGGGCTATCGCGACCGAATTGACTAATCGCCCTCGAGCGAACCTTAAGGCATCTGACATTCTGTCTAGCCATTCCTACAAAACGCCAAAACAGAATTTTGATTTCGATGCGAGCCAGCAAGTGATGTGCGCGTACTTAATTTACAATTTTCTTGCTCGCAAGGTTGCTAAAGCCAATTGGTAATTTTGTTTTATTTTGTCTTTAAGGTCGAATATTTACATTTATATGCTATGTTCGATTCTTCAATTAAGTCATGACAAGAATTTCATTAAAATTACGTGTGACTTATTCGTACCTATTGATAGATTTTATGGTGCTGCATATAAATCTTTATTTACTATAAATGTTTCTAGTGGAAGAATAATTTTATAGTTTAAATTCATAGAAACTATATTGGAAGACATGGTCGAATTACTATATAGAATGTCTTAAAATACAAGATGCTCTAATTCATTTAAATAATTACGTAATATATTAAAGTATATCATCCATAACGAAGAGTGCCTACTCTTCAGCTTTGGAAAATGTTCGGCATTTTAAAATAATATCTCAGAATTGATAAGTATATGTAAGTGGTTCTCTTAAATTAAATTTTGGTTTTACCATCTATACCTCTACGTAGAAAAAAGAACTAATGTTTATCGTTATCAATTAACGAATAACCGACTCAATTCTAAGGGTATAACATTAGAATATAGTGTTACAACATAATCGAGTTTCTTTGTAAATGGAAATTCTAAAAGAAATGAAAAACTGTAAATACGAATCTATATATCATGTCATTTGATTGAAATAACCGTATAATTTTGAAAAATTTCATAATTTGAAGTATCATTTATTCAATCCTTTTGTAATAAATTTTACCATCCCATCCTGTAACCTCGAGATGGCCGTAACCTTCATTGCAGGCTTCTCCGTATTATCAGCATATCCTTCCACTTCCTTGTCTGTATCTAAATTGAATTTGAGTGGTTGCTCATTTACATGTGGCCTTCCTTTAATAAGCCTTGCTACTAAGCTAATTATTAACAGGAATTGCAAGACCCTTGTCCTCATAGTTCACCGGTGATTTAAGAATACCGATATAGAAGTTTCAGCTTCTTGCAAGATTCTACGTCAACCTTCGGCTGGAGATCAGCTGGAAATCACCGCTGCAACCATGCATTCATATTTAAAAAAAATAGCTGAATCACCGTATTATATAGCATTTTGATATATTAATGAGCATTCTTACGTCACCAACGCGGATTTTGGCTAGACGTTATATGTATATGAAATTAGTTCCATGAATAAGAGGATACGTTTGGTATTGCGATGTTGTATGGAAATGAATGTATAATTTGGCATTTGAAATCAGTTTAAATGCTTTTTCAGCAGGAATTTTTGTGGAGATAGTACTCGTGGGTAAATACTTGAAATTAAGTTTTTTTCGAGATCCGATTATTTTTAATATTATTTGTACTATTTACTTGAAATGGAAATGGAAATAATAAATAAATCACTGTATACATATAATTTCAAATGGAAGATATATTAACGTGGTAAAAAAAGATATCAATTCAATCAAGAATTATAAAACAAAAAATATCTTTTCAAATGTGTTGTATTTTGAAATATTGGTTTTAAAGATAAGGAAAGTGTATTTGAAAGAATATATTATAATATGTATAGCAAAAAAATTTAATTGGCTAATTTTTTGTCGACTACAATGATTCTTATTTGAATAGAAGAAAGTTAGCAATTAGGAAAAACCCATCTGTCGTCAGCGTCAGCAAAACCATGACTTCTTACAGAAAAGTAAAGATATGATTCAATAGATATGCGTTAACCAGTTGACTAAGAATCAATCACTTACGAATGATATCTAAAAATAACTACACAAACGTTTCGTTGCATTATCAATTATAATGATTGAAAACAGTGCGCGCAAGCCGATGAAGAAATAAATGAGAATTTGAGTCTCTCGAAAAGTCGATCCTATGTCACAATGACTTACGTGGTATACTAAAGGAAATTAACCTTTCACCTCACTTTTACTTCGCCTAGTTAGCTTATTTTTATAAATAAAAAAACTAGATCGAACACACAAGCCCAAAGGGAATATGAAGCAACTCACATTTGAAGATTCTCCCATGCAGTCGAGAGACAACGACGACGCGCGTCTTGTTAGATCGCATCCGAACGGACTTCGGTGGGCGCATGGACGGACAGCCGGTAGGTAACTGATTACACTCTCTCACAAGGTGCGTAAAGCCAAGCTCGCGCTGCTCTCTTACGACACGAACAAGCGAGCGCTTTCTCTTTCATTTCCAGCCATAGCCATGTACTCGTGAGGCGCGTTCGCGCGACTTTTGAGGAGTATACACTATCTCGTTATTTGCGGTGCATCGCTTGACTGGTCACGTGATTATAGGGTGCGCTTTAAGGTTAACTGTAGCTTCGTGTACATCCTAAGAACGAAGCTACGGTCGTGGACTATTTTTTCTCGGCTCGAACGGCCAAGGACGCATGCATGCGAGTATTGTTTAGGTTTTCACGGCCCCGTGATCGTGGGCTTTTATATTATACACTTTTGAAAAGAATTAAAGATCGTTTTATTTTGCTATTTTAACATTGCTATTTTATAATGACTTATTAAAGTTGATAGTGCCATCCTTGATGAAAAAGTTTACATAATTAACTACAAAAATAAAAATGTAGAATTAGTTGCCAACTAATAAACTATCAACAACATTTGGTTATATATATTTTTTATTTCACATTATACAAGAGTAAAACTGTGAGACTAGGTTTTTCCAAACATATCAGCAAGTTCATAATAATCATCTTCAGTGTAATCTTCATTTATTGGTGATACAGTAGTCTGCGTTTTTTCTATTAAATGTAAGCAGATTAGTAGCATTGTTCTTTGTTATTTTTTTTATTTAGAAACAATATGCTTTTGAGATATACATAGAGATGTGAAGAATTATCGGTATATAGCGTTAAAATATTCTAAATTCTAGTTACATCGTTAAAAATATTCATTACGTATAGTAATCATAGAAATTTTGATTAATCCAGTTATATATTTTTTCATTTTACAATTAATGCATTTGATCATATGAATATAACGTATTTTAGAAAATGATTATTTCATCTTGTCCATTACTATCTATTTGTGTATTATTAACGAATTTATCTTAAGTAGTTTTGTAATAAGGAATGTCATAGGTTGTATTATTTTCTAAACTTGACTCAGTAGAAGATTCAGATTTACTGTCGTATTCTTTAGCATTTTCGTTGTCATTAGTTGTTTCTTTAATCTTTTCTGTGCAATATGCATCGGACAGCTCTTCATTATTAGTTTCAGAATTTTCATTAACAACTTCACAGTTATACTCTGCATTTCTTCGAGCTTTAAACCGTGCGAAATATGAAGGGTGAAGCTGAGGTTTGATAGTAGTAATTGCACTGAAGTCAGTTAGCTCGTCTTCAGGTTTGTATGTTTCTTCAATGTTATCTTCATCAAAGCTTGAATACGTGGTTTCTTCTTCAGAATTTGATGAATTTTGCTCTTCCTGGTCTTCACTATCATCTGGCGTTTGGATTGTTTTTTGAAGGCCGTAGATAGTGGAGACTAAATCCATGAAGACCCTTGTAGTACTTTTTGCAATATCTACGGACGGTAAAGTAGTAGCATCCTCGGTTAAATTTGCCTGAAATAATAAATAAATCATGTATTTACGTTAGAATTATCAGTCGGTTTTGTAATACAATTCTATATTTTACGATATTGACATACCTTTATTGAATTTTTATTTAAGGACAAGGAAAAAGTTCCTATGATGAAAGAGAAAATAAAAAATCCATTTATTTTCATCTTTTTTCTCTTCATGAACAGTAACGATTTAATTTTAGGTTAAATGAAACTGCGTTTTATTATATTTTATGCGTTTATTTTGTGGAAATGTTTACTTTACGTATTGGGTAAGTTGTTTCTGATTCCCAAACCATTTCCTTATACAATCGTACAATCACATATATATAGTAATATAATTAAATTAAATTTTATCGTATGAAATTTCGACTCTTGATTAAGTTAAAAATAATTCATACCACTCACTTAACATTACTGTTAATAGCTAAACATTTTCCTCGATCGTCGCTTCTTATATTGCCTGAAATACGTGACTAATTGAAAAACTCGCGCTTATGAGTGCATTTTATCACATTGTGCATGATTATCATCAAAATCTGAATACAACAACATTTTATTTGTTCATTTTCTACATATTGTTGAGCGCACGCAATGACCGGTTAAAGATTTTTTGGCATGTATAAATAATTTTACTCAGTTCAAAGTTTCCGTGTAGCTTGTATTTTTTCAGCGAAAAGTCCGCGCTATCTACCTTACCAACACTAGGAATGTTGTATACGCTTTTGAAGTTTCTCCTATAGAGGCTGGTGAACGTTTCAGTTCTATCATTTTTACAATAGTACGATATTGGCGACTTAACGATTAATGATAGTAGTAATCTATTAATGATTTCGTTTCAATATATAAAATCTTTTGACTAATATTCCAATTACTTCACACTATAAATACATTAAAAATGGAATTACTGTATATATATGTATAATGCAACAATACGGTAATAAACAGTTTCACAGTGTATACATCAAGTGTTTGCATTGACATGAACCTTGTTTTATAAATTGCTCCAATCTTTCAAATAAATATTTTTACAAAGTGCGTGTCAAAAGAATACTTCCATATTTGATTACTCAAATTTATTAGAGATTTAACAAACTTTCCGAATTGCCATTGCTAATTTAAGATATAATATCCAATAAATGTTAGAATAATCAATTTTTTTCCGTAGTATATTTATTTATTATATCACATTACATCAACAAACAACTATTTTAATACAGAAATAGTAATCGATTGTAAAATTGTAAAAAATCTTTCTAGATACACACCACTACAATAAATAAAAATAAAAAAGGTTACCTCAAAATATACAAAATCAACGACGCTAACGCCGAAGCTATTGCATTAGTGCACGAGCTACCGCGGACGATCAAACAGACGTAAATTCATTCAAATTTCATCAAGCACGTGATTTGTGTTCTTCCTACAATAACATAAGCAATATAATGGTTCAAGAATATCTAAGTGGCGAAAAAGAGTATTTAAGTGAATTTGTTTGCAAATCACAAAGGAATACGTTGCGTGATTATTATTTAAAATTCTAGTACGTTACTTAGTTGCGAGTCTACAACAGGTTGTACTTATAAATTATGAATACAATGGATTCTTCTTTGTTCTTATAAAACACAAATAATTATAGTAGATTAACAATTTCTTCATTTTTTGCCAACATGATTCCTGAGCAGTTGATTTACTGCATTCAAAGCAGAGATGGGGATCTGGGAAAAAAACAAACATAATTTAATAAAAAAATTATTGTTGTATGAGTGACTGCGTTCTTAACAAAAACGTTTTGCATAATATTTTTATATGAAAAAATAAAAAATGTTAGCCGTATCAATAGAAAATTTAACTAAAAATATTATACACGGTAACTGACACGTGTTGCAACAACTCACTAAATTTTTTTTTTCACAGTGATGTTCACTGACTACTGCTATAAATCTTAAAGTTTTTTTGCGTCTTATTGTTGTTAGAAAATGAAGTGCTACCCAGTAGTCCCGTCCCAAAGGCTTTGCCGCGAAAAAAGTCAGGAAAATTTACTTTGTAATGGTTATATTTCTCACGATCAATCTCTTGACCACTCGATCGAGAGATTAATCGATTAGCCAATCTGGGGGGACGTATCGTGGCGATAAATCTTTGCTAACAACACATAAGATTCTCCCTTTCGTTTAATCAATTTCGCAATGCTATCACGTTTCTCTTTATAATACCGTATAGTAACTTTTGTCAAATTTCACTATATATAGTAAATTAGTAAATTACGTTTATTGTAACATCTGATACTTAAAAAAAAATTTTTTCTAACTCACGTTGAAGATGTCATCGAAAAGCGTCGTCTTTTTCTTATATCCTAAATTGTTTGAAGTACTGCTTCCGGCATTTGTGGCGGCGTCAACACCGGAGACAGCTCTGGTGAATACTCCTGGGGCGTTAAGTTTGACATGTGGTTGTGGTGGTGGTGATGATTTCGAGGTCGATGTCGTCGGCTCTTTATCTGTAGTTGCTTTCGGAGCAGTTTCTGCTTGGGCATTTTTTAGGGAGTCATAATAAGGGCTGGACTGGGTGACGCGCTCGTGAAGCCGCTTTTGAAAGTACAAGCGTGCCGGGGACTGGCTCCTTTCATCGGCTATCACTGCTACATGTCCCCTCACCATCACCATTTTGTTTTATATATATTTATCGTTATATTGTTTGTGTGCCAAAAGAAACTGTTTTTCGGTAGTGATGTTACGAAGAGGACGTGTGTGAGTGGATGTGTGGAAGAATTGAAGGATAAACTTGTTGCTGCACATTCCGCAGAGAACAACATGAATACGCAAGACTCTTACTGCGTCTCTTTGTCTGCAGTTGTTTGCGTTTTTTCCGACAAATGCATAACTTTACCTTTAAAATTTGCAGTTTCATTGTGTACTCACATTTCATTGGGTACACGATTGCGTTTCTTGAATCTTTAAATACTCTTTGTCAATTGGTTCGATCCACAATTTAAAAGCAGAAAGAGTGAAGTTTTAGCAGAATAAATGAATAGATAAATTTTGTGACGTATATGATTTCGTTGACTCAGTCAATTGGGCAATTGTAGTGTATGAGTGTATTTAAAAATAATGCGTTATGAAAATAGATGAAAATATTGTTCTCTCGTGAGCCATTCATAAGCAATATTTTTAAGAAGCTAGAAATACATTAAGGAAACGTAGTCTAGGTAGCATAACAACTGGCAGACTTCTTTTACATTAGATGTATCCAGAAGCAAGGCAAAGGAGATGAAAGGATGTCAAGTAGTTATCAGTCACGGGAAATCATAAAGCTTTAGAAAATAGAACAGATTGTAGAAGGAAATTTACCGTCATTAGTAGAAGCTGCGGCTGATGCGTCAACAGAAGCAGAAGAAGATGATACCTGATCATAGAATAATGTTTTAGAAGTTCGTTTTAAAAATAAGAGTATAATGTACATTACTCAATGTATTTAGTAGATTTATAAACAAAATGTACATTTTGAAAGTTATGTGATCAATAAAAGTATTTAGATTTGTTCAAAATCATAATAAAATAAAGTGAAGCTTTATTAAAAGATTGTATAAATATTTATTTAATACTTTCGAATACCTTTATCTACTAATACATTTTTCTCTATTACAAATACAAATTTATTATCGCGTCATTTCCAGTAGTAATATTTGTTTTTTATCCTGTCCCATCTATTTGGATAAGCTGCAAACTAAAAAATTAACAGCGTAAAAAATCGCTGCTTTTTTTAAAAATTTCAAAAACAAAAACTAAAACATTAATCTATAGATATCGTCATGCAATATAAACACTTCAGTATCAACTACTGCAATTGAATAACTGTCACCTGTTGGTCATTCCTTTTGGGTTCGATCACTTGAATGTTCTTGCCAATTGTCTTCTGTGGTAAAACAAGACCTCCTGCAGATGACTTGGCGAAAATTTCACCTTGAGGTTTAGACCCAGAAAGGGTACCACCGAGACCTGCTTCGGCTTCGGGTCCACCATTTCCCAGTCCAGCCCGGGCATGAAGGCCGCCAGCTATAAATTTTGTTTTGTTTTATTACCATTCCGCCATAATCGATTTGACCTTAATTGATTTGATAAATAATCGGAGATAAAGTTAATAGATGAGATGTTTTTGTTACTCACTCTTTTTCATAGTACAAAAAATTTTTTTTTTGTGTTTTCGAGGGTGTATCTCATATATTATTACGTTATGTAAATAAAACGAGAAAAAATATTCAAACCATATTCGTAGGCTCTTGTAACCATGAATACTCATTACCATAATTCATTGCAAAATAAATTTTCCGTTATGATCATTTGTTTCCAAATAGTCATCACACGATAGTTAGAAGTGAATTTCTAAATTATAGGATAATGATTAAAGCTACGGGAAACACATTTCAAGTTACCATTTTATCTAATTAATGTCAAAACTAATTTATCCAACATCGCGTAATCTATAAGACCAATCATAAACTTACTAGGTCCGCCGTCTAAGCTACCACCAAGACCCGCACTGGCATGTGCACCTGCAGGTGTACCAGCACTTGCATGTAAGCCGCCATCAGCTGTTCGACCAGTCAGGAGACCTCCAAGTCCAGCTTGCGCATGGTAGCCGGCAAAGTTAACTCGGATTCCGCCTTTAGTGAATTCGATGAATGGCCGCTATCGGGAATTGCCAAATATGGTAGTTTCAGTAAAAAAATAATTCATCGAGGAAACCAATTGTATCAAATATGAACGCATAGTTTTATGGAAACTCCTTGGCGAACAATGTATTGAAAAGCGGTTAACGGTGTACTGCAGCACACGTCGCAAATAAATCACAGATCGACGTTGACGTTACATGCTCATACGCAGCAATCTAACGAGTGAAATAAAAGATAAACGATCATTTTCAATTTCCGAATAGCACTGAATTTATTTGTACTTTCTAAGCCGTTAAGTTTAGCTGGACGTTTATGAATCAACGAGCGTACGCTCGATAAATAATGCAGTACTATAAATTCACAATCCTTTATTTCTATCTTTTTGGGAATCTGATTGATGTCGTTTATTTACTATGCATATCTCGTTAACACGCAGACATAAGGTAAATAGAATATAATTGAAAAAAGAGTATATACATATATTTCATCATCTCACGCAATGGCTATTTAATTTTTGGCGAGCCGTCAGTCAAACTTGACACGCGCAGTTCATCGGCACAATAACGCCTTATTCAAAATTACAGGCCATGCTCCCTCCCTCCCTCTCTCTCTCTCTCTCTCTCTCTCTCTCTCTCTCTCTCTCGTGTTGGCTATTAAACCGAAAATTACGGATAATGGCGATTGCAGCATTCCTCAGCGTCGCCGTAAAAACGGGATCTTAGGTTTGAGGCGCTCTGTCGGTGGAAATCCGGCGAAAAATTTTTGTCGAGAGTGAGAGCGTCTAAATCATTCGCGCCCCGACACGCTGCGCAGTGCATAGCTCGTTCGCGTGACGTGTATCTTAATCTATTCCTTGTACGGCAAGGTGTGCAAAATGCAGTCCGACCATTACGGATATACGCGACCGACAACGATAGTTGGCAAAATTGCCCCAACGCTCTTGGTTTTTTTTTCTTTTCGTCATTCCCATGCGGCTCGTTAGATCTGCCCAAAAATATATTCAACATGTTGTACAGCTCGACTGACGGGATGTTTGTACACGCTTGACTATGCAGTTAGAGGTTGAAGGATTTTTTTGTTCAAGTTAAATGTAACGAGGAGTCGCTTGATTGAGGTGCATAGCCTTTTTAAGACTTTCGATGATTCTTTTTTTTTTGAAAAATTCCGGTCGTTTTAACTAATTTTTTTTCGATTTTATAACGACAATTTTTCTTAACGACGGTGATACAGCAACTCATTTTGATTTTCTTTGAAATCTCGAATTTACGTAATCGGAATAGTGCATAATTTTGAACTATTATGTGCAATTATGAAGAGAGTATTATAAAAACATGAACTTTGATCATTGCGATAAAAGAAGTCTTAAAATGTCTATTGTATATTTTCAAATTAAAAATCTCATTTCATAAAATATTCCATTTTAATGTTTTCTAGCGCATTAAAATTCACGCGCACGATCATTCGGTCTCTGACTTCTCTTGTATACGTCAATCTGTTGGAAAGAAACAAGATCTCGCGTCGCATAATAGAATTTTTTTTCGCATCAAACTTTCCGCATCACACAAAGAAACAATGGAAAATAAGCGAAGCAACCAGATTGCAGAGACTTCCTCGAAATTCCTGGCAATGAGGCGCGAAAAATAATGCTCGAGGTCAAAAGATTTTTATACTTTTCTCCCGTGAACAAAGCCAAGCCATCAAGATGCACTCTGGGAATTGCAATGGCCAATTTGGAGCGCGCAAGTTCGTTAAATATTACGTGTTCATTGCTCCGACAAACAGTGTGTCGATAGGTTATTTATGGTCTGGCAAGGGGAAAGGCAAAAATTCTGCCTAAAACGCGAAAACTCGTTCGTAGCCGTCGTACTGTTGGCTACGGAGAGAAGTATCCGAGGCTTGCTTTGATAAGCGCTTGAGAAATTCGTTGTTACAAATTGCCCCGCTGAGTTTCCTCCCTCCGGCGGAACTACAATTTAAGTGTAATTAATCAGTCGATAGGATAAGTGTTGATCTCCGTTGTCTTTACTTGATATATTTGTATATTTCTCGTCTTGGTTGGCAAGCACTTTCAGCGGCACGAGAGAGTGAGAATGTAAATTAAGCAAATATCGGGCCAGCATAATTGATGGTTTTTAAAGCGAACGATCCGTTAGTTAGAGAGAATGAGCAGAAGTTTACCGAAATTTTCGCTCAATGAGGAAGTGTTCGCGGCGAAGAGACTTTAAATTATTGTCGATTTATGTATATAAGTTGGACATCTTAATTCGCATACGCGGAAATACGACGGACAGTACATGCGCGCGAGATAATTAAACTGCCAACGCCCTGTAAGTAGCAGTAACGAGTCGAGCATTAAAGAAAACGTCGTTTCGAGCTTGTCCAGAGCGTTACACAAGGCGCGCGAACGGAAACTGCGGAAAACGCGCGTGCAACGTAACGGGCGAATTTCACCGTGAGCGCGCCAAGTGAACATTTAAAAGTCATCGTAATGAGAGAACCTTCGCGAGAAAGAGAGACAGAGACTGGGAACTGGTCGCATCAACCTTTTCAAGGTAAACGAGAATGAATAGTGAGAGAGGGGAATCGCACGCGAGTAGGAATATAATGCGTGCCAGAAAAAAAAGGATTGCCGACGCTGGAAAATTATCAGTGGGGGTTCGTATGAAAAATAGCTGCCGTCAGTGTAACTGTAATAACGTCAGTCATAACTCCCAATTGAAAAGAAAATTCTCGATACCTTTTGAGTTGCTCAACTGCAAGTGTTGAGTCACACGTGTCTTAGTCACGGTCGATATCAATTAAGTCATTTTGGAAAAAAGAACAGTAGTGGCTGCTGTGTTTGAAATTACATATTTGCAAACAATTGTTGAATACTGCTTTCGAAGTGAAAGAGATGTAAGATTATGCAAAAGAAACTAAAAATTGCTCGAGATGCTGCCGTGAGAAAGGAGCGTCAAAAGTAAACATTACATTGCTCAATAACCAGAAAGACCGGTGCCTCCTCGATGTGCCAAAGAATTTTATCGAAAGTGATCAGCCCCGAAGACATTGTGTAAAAAAATGCTGCAATTATTTGTCACGCCGTGTCTTTTTTCTTTTTTCTACATAATTTAAAAATGTCTTTCTTTCCCTAGAAATAAGATTTCCAAAGAATGAAATGATAGATAATTGGAGTGCGCGACAGCTGTCGCGTAATTCCTTATATGCAAGAGTGATGAGTCTAAAGCATTCTTGAAGGAAATTTGTTGTCTAGAAGGCATTGTGCGTCACGTACCGCTTATAAAGAGAAAAAAGAAAACGAGTTCTATGAGGGTTTATACGTGCGTACAGTGCAGACGATTGATTACGATTGAGCCGAACAAGATGAATGATAGTACGCGCGCGCGCACATGCCACTCTTGAGAAAGTTTATTGCTGCGGCTCTCGAGAGACTGTAAATTTTTGATTTTGCACGGGTAGTAAATTCATTTGCAAAACAAAGTGTAGACGCCGACTGCAGCTGCAGAGAATGTGGATAAAGATGAATAGACACGAGTAACTTTTGTTTCGGTGTTTGTATAATTAAGGAAAGCAGTTTTCATACATCCAAAATTACGCAACAGATATGTCAGTTGAAAAAAAATGTAATACGTAGCTTAAAAGCGAGTACCAAATTGGATCGTAAGAACGTAATTGCGACATTACAGATAAGATCGAGCGTATAGTATCAGTATGGCATCATCGACGAAGAATAAATAACGATATCAACGACGCCATTGGCAAAAAAATTCACGTACTATAACTTCAAGGCCGATATACGTATGGGGACAGCTTCATAATAGATTCTTTTTCTTCTTTGCACCTATAAAGGACAGTCGTCGCGGTATGTTGAGCGCAAAGGAAGTAATGGTAGATTGTGCGAACTTGGCAATTATTTCTGATTAGTGATGGAAAGAAAATGATAATTACGGAGGGATAAGATGGTCACGGTGAACAACGTGAGAAACAACTGTAATAGTAAAATCAAATGATACTCGCTCGTACATCGAACGAAAGCCATTCAATTTCCGACGCTTTTCATCATAAATTACGTGGGATATCTGCACGCATGGTACGTTTTAACGCGCGTGAAACAAGAAAAAACGTTGACTGGAAAATCGATGAAATTACGCGGTCAGAAAGAAAACAACAATTTTGTTGTTGCTTATAGGTTCTTCGGTAAAAGTCACAGCTATAAAAGCAGCGCGCACAATTGAGTAATCTAGCTGTGCGAGACGCTGAAAATTATGAGAAACGCGAAAAGAAATTGTATGTGGACAAGGCGCGCGAAAGAAGAGAAGTGTCGATCCTAGAAGCGATCGAACTAAAGCCAACGTGTAAGATGTCTTCCGCGAGAACAAAGGCTGCTTTCGGCGTCGGGTGAAAGCCTCCCTAATCGCAGCAAGTTGTTAGTTAACGCTCGCGAGTTCACAAAAGAGATTTCCGCTCGGCCATTCCACACACGCGAGCGTGTGCACGTATCTGTGAGGTAACTATCTTGACACACAGAGCTCGCTCCCGATAATTGCATAGAAACCTTTCTCTCGATTCGGCCAGTCATCATTGAGCGACCGCGCGCGCGAGCGCTGCGCGTCGGAAGAAACGATTCCAATTTCGTTCTCCCCATCTGCGATCGGCCTGGGATTTCGACGAGGCTAGTGCGCATGGCATCCTCTTTTTCTATGAGCTGGCGAAATGCCGGGTCGGGTGATTTAGAGAGGGTAATTAGGCTGTCTCGAGAGCGGTGCCTTAAAACAAGTAACAAGGCGTCGTGTCAAGGTAGCCCAGAATGAAAACTTACCGAACCAGACGAGTTACCGTCGTCCTCGTGAGGGGTGGGAAAGCCTTCGACAACAACGGCTGCCAACAGTAGCAGCGTAGCAAGTAATGGTAGCGAGACCTCGCGCCTCGACATCTTTGCCTTTACTGACTTGAGACACTGTCCGGCTTCTTACGGCTTGCCAACGAAGGTAACACACGCACACGCACACCTACTGAGCCACGTATATACGCCGAGTACAATATTGTGCGCCAACGCCACGCTACAGGCCAAAAGACTATCGTAGACTGCGCTTATACCGACCACTCGATCGCACGGTGACGGTTGAATAAGTTTGTGCGGTGGATCCGCGTAAGCAACGCTTTTGCTTTTTATTTCAATTTTTACGACCGGGAAAATACGCGCGTGCTGATACTGGTTTTCGGAGGCTGAGTAATGGCTGCAAAAGTTGAGCAAGAAGTACACTTTGGGCTTTGGCTACCGGCTCTTATATGATTGATGATGATTACTTCAAATGATTCAGTGTGCACTGAACAACTTTTATTGGTTTTTAATGTATAAGCTTGACCAACATTTACTATATTTAAATTACAAACTGTTTATATAAGTTATGTAAATATCATATTCTTTTAAACTAGTAAATATGTTATAAAATAATATCGAGAAATAATAATATAATTGATGAATAAGTAAATTTATAACATTATACATACGAATATTAAGTAGAACAACCCAATTTAGTCAGACGCGACAGTTACATAGGTGTTTGACATGGCAATTGCTTGTCAACAGACTGTAAACGCCTGATGGTTGACAACCAATTATTCGTTGGAGTAGTTTATTCATAGCAAGGCGCGCACACTTAGTTACATCAAAGCAATTGATGTCGCAGAAGTATGGATTTTTAGCGCTCCCACTTCCTTCTTCACTTTCACTAACAATTAGCGAATATACTTCATTTTTGTTTTCTATGATTCAATGACCGGAAGTAGAATGTTACTGTTTTGTTTTATGTTTTTTTTTCTTTGAAAAATAGATTGGAAAAATAAACTAATGAAGAAGAACTTTATAACTTGTACAATTTTAATTTGTCATAATGTCGTTAATGAATCATGGGCAGATAGAAATCTTTGCCATATAAAATTACTAGACTTATTGTGCATTAGTAGAACATCATAATATTTCGAAAACTTCGTTGTCCGTTAAGTAATAGAGTCAGCTCCATCGATAATAAAATACAGTAAATAAGTAGAAGTCATAAATTCATATATAACCAAAACAATTTCATCGATTTTTCTTTTTCGATAAATGTTCGAAACGTTTTCTGATTTCGTCAATTTAATGTCAGAATTCGTATTTGTCGGCAAATAAAGATGAATCTTGTGGGATACCGCGTCATAAAGTCGCACGGTTTATCGGCAGCCTGTGCGCGCATATGTAGCCAATGAATTCTATCGGAACCTCAAGTGTACATGCATACATAAAGTGAAAGTTGACGTAATGCGGCAAATCGTCGCTGAACCATCTTGACGCAGTTCGCAGCAGCTCATTTACATAAGAATGCATAATCCATAACAATCGATAGGAGAAACTTCTATAAGTGTCGCTAATAATAAAGGTATGTGCTGCCTCCATACAATGAATTCGCATGGGCGATGCCTTTACCTGCAATAATTCCTGTTGTCGCTATAGACGTATCGCTAGAAGAATATCTCATGAGCAGTCTTTTTTTTCGAAGTAGATCTGGAAGGTCGTTAAAAGATTCTTGAGTTTTCATGTTCGTAGCTTCATTCTTTTGCGAGAATGCGCACTGCAGTAGATTGGTTTTTTCTTGTTTCTCTCTCTTCGTTGCGTGCCACACTGCAATATGCGTATAGCACGTACGTCCGATTTAATTAAGTAACAACTCACTTTCATTTATTTTTTGAGTGTCGAAGTTTTCGAAAAATCGTTAACTGGCACGTCGAGACCGAATACGAGTTTCAAGATTTTGACGCGCTGTTTAAGATACAAACAAGCTCGTAACCATTTACCACGGCGCATACTTCAATTATTTTTAAAAATTTATGCCCCAGCTTAGTAAGAAGTAGCATTATCATGATTTGAAGCAAAAATAAAACACGTTAATGGAGGAGTACAAAGGAAAAAAATAGCGACGATTGTCAGTAATTTTCATGCAAAACGAGAAAAACAACCGCCTCGCATTGAATGCAATCCGGCAACGTCACGAGCGATAACAAACTTTTGTTAAAAATTGCAGCGCGCAACGATCGAATAATTCATACCTAGCATTTATTGGCATACAAAAGGATCATTAACATTCGAGTCAAAACAAACTTGCGATTCACCGTTACAATCACGCATCTATCGACACGCTCGCGCACCGAAAAAAATTATTTTCGACGTTTCGTCTATTAAAGAAGGGATAAGCAAGTGAGTGTGAAAACATTACAACACGTATATTCACGCGAATGACACAAACCAACCTCCATGATCCATTACGCGTGTGAAATAACTAGATAAACTTACTTGCCCTGTCGATCTTTCACCTGATGAGTCTACTATCCATTTCCAGAATTATATTTTCAAATCCCCTGCTAGGGGGATTGAAAACTAAGTCCAATTATTTTGTAAGTGTAGGCTTCGAGTGACTCGTAATATGATTTTTATGAACACGTAATGTCGCAAAAGTAAAAGTATAATAGTGCATTGGACGTCAATTTCCGTCAAAATTATCGGACAATTTCATGTGTACCTCTATAAAAATCACGCACAATCACAATAATGGAAGGCTGGACCAATATAAAAACCACGAGGCATTATGACGAAAAAAAATTGTTGTTCATGGTCTTTCTTGGAATACTTTCGACGCACTATATAATAAAAGATCACGCAGCTGCAGGTGTGCAGTAGACACACTAAACCTTGACTCAATCCCCCTGCGCGATGCATCTCCATTGCAGCGCGCTCGGTGCCGATACTTATCTGCTTGCTCTTTATTTTCCATTGTTTCATCAGTGCATTTTTGGCGAGCTCGTTTCGTTACGGAATTTGCGTTCTTACTTTCCGGTGTTGCGTTGGCGTAAGTAACGCCCGCTGACAAAGATCTAGTTCAGAAGCAGAGTTACTTTGCTAAAAAAATCTAATTTTGTCTTGTATTTTTTTGTCTTTTAACGCCGTGTGGTTGGGAATATTATTATAGCCTTACTCAGGCGACCGCGAGGTAATCTTGCTCTCTCTCTCTCTCTCTCTTTCTCTCTCTCACTCTCGTCTTGTTGCACAATAAGAAAAATGAGGTGAGCAACCCAAGAGCTTAATGCCGCGTTGTATTCGAAACTTTTACACTAATAGTGACATTTCCGTAATTGCCTATTTCGTAATTTCTAATATGAAGATTATGTGTAAGTATAAATTCATACACACGCACACACACACACACACATACACACACACGCACACACAAGATAAAATATTCAAAAGTATTCCGTTTCGAAATCGCATTTAACGAGTATTAAAAAAAGTACGTTTTCTCGTTGTTTATTGTTTCATAGAAATTCAAAAAGAAAAGTACGCGTACAATCGCAATCTCTGGTGGAAAATTGAAACTATAGGAAACACGTGCGTATGCATGCAATAGAACCACTTCATTCCAAGCGTATGTACGCTTTATTTTTATCAGTTCTTTTGAAGCTTCATTATATGGCAAAACTTTCGCGCGTGGCCGATTAATTAGAAAAGGTAAAGAGCGTGAAATCGTTTAGCCCGCGAATCTAAACTTTAAAGAGAGAACATTTTTGCATATTAGATCTACGAGGGGAAATGGCTTTCGCTTAGAGAGAGAGAGAGAGAGAGAGAGAGAGAGAGAGGAGAAAGCATTGTTGCGTCTAAATTCTCATATCAGGCGCGCCTCTCTGTAATTCCTTCCTATACTTGATCTCTTACCTGTAGAAGCATTTCATTGGCTCTCGCTATTCAACTCCATTTCAAATGACCTATCCACTTGCTCATTACGTGAATAAACCATCGCGTTCTATCAATTATGCTTATAAACCGGATGGGAAATGTATCGATATAAGCTTGAAAGTTCCGCTGAAAATAGCTGTAAATCAGCACATATATCGATGGATTTTTATTGTCGGTTTAATTTCACTCATCGTTTCATTTCAACGAGACATCATGCGCCTTCTATTACGTAAACGATTATGAAGCTATGTTACTACCAATGTAGATCACTTACCACCTCGATGATCGATTAGCCGTGTATGGTATTCATGTTGTATTTAAATATTCGATGGCATTAATACTGTATTTACGCGGTTGAAAAAACAAAAAAAAAAGAAATCGACATCCAGTTAAAATTGTATCTGATCCTCTTCGAGTCGCTACGTCTCCTCTCCCGTTAAATGATTATCGGTGATTTCGATCACACAGTGAAATCTGCTATTACGTAATTACGTACGTTGTTTTATTTTTGTAATTTCGAACGAAGAAATACAAACGTGTTGTATACATAACACCGTTCATATATATTTATTTTATACATTATATACATTCTGGAGATGAACCTCTTCATAACGATTTTTTATTTTATTTATTTTGCGTGTGGGTTTAATGGCTTGTAACATGATATAATGCAATAAATTAAATTACAAATTTTTTTTTTCACCGCTGCTCGCGAAGGTATATAAATATAAAAGGAGAAGTTTCGTTTAATTGCCAGCTTTTTAAACACATCAAACAACATACGAGGCCCTACATCTCGCGACCCTTTTATTGCGCCCGTTTACCATATGAACGACGCGACGTCACACGACGAGCGATACTTTAAATCTGACCTTATTTCAAAGTGGCGCTTCAGTATGCCAAGTCAGTTGGTTAACGATGTCAGCTTAAAGGATATCGAAAGTGCCTTCTCACACCGGGGCTTTTTATAAATGAATCACTTCGCGTGGATCATTGAAAGCGTGATCGCAATTCTTTTTTTCACGCTGTCCCTTACTTAGCAGCTCATTTCCATTTTGTATTCACACGCTACCGAGAAGATTAAATCGTCGGGTTAAGTAGCTACCGCACTTAAAAGATAGCTATTAATATAATCAAACCACCTCTTTACTCGCAATCTCGAAAGCAGCTTCGCTTCCGCAACTTTTTGAATTCTGTAAACCTGTTACGTGATTGCTAAAAACGAATAATTTTGAAAGCATTGTATAAATGAATTACATTTCGCATGATCTGATTCTTTCAAAAATACCTGAACTATCTTAGATCCCAAGGACTTGCTTGTCAAACATCATAACGAAGAGCATCAATCAAAACCTTTATATATGTTATGCATAACGTGTATTCTGTTACGATTAAAACTTGGCTTTGGAAAAAATAGATCAAAGTCTTCCAAAAGAAATAAAAAAATAATCTTCCAGCGGTGGTAAATAAATTTCCGATTTTTGCCTCGAAAGCTAAAACAGCACTTAAAAAACTTTCATTTAAAATCAAATTACCCAAGAATTTAAAAGTAAAAGAAATTGAGAAGAAATTGTGCAAAGAGCACCAAGGGAGAAGGATATTTCGCAACGACAGTAAATACCTGGAAGATGGCAAAACGCATTTAATCAGCGACAAATCAGAGCTCGTACAGCCGAGCATTGCAGCGTGTCAAAGTAGCTCGTTTACAAATTCTCTATCGTACAACAGCATCAGCGTCACCTAGAAAACTGCATTTAATTAACCGCGCAAAAGCTGCACTCACAACTGTATCAGCCGACGAGATAGGCCTGAAAATGGCCAATCAATCATTCGTCCTTTTTCCTTTTCTGCGCTAGCTGCGCATCTCGATGGTTAGTAAAGGTTCGTTGATCTAGCCAGCGAGAAAAGTTACTTAACTTGTACCTCCCTGTGTAATTTCGTCATTGCTTCTCTTAAACTTTTAATAAGCGATGCGCTCTAGATTTGGATGTGTTAATCCATTGGCGGCGGCACCGAGAGTTTTGTCGAAATTTCAACCAAACAGAGATGAATCGAAAGGTATCCCCAGTCTGGTATGAAAATGTTACGGTTTTTGTTTCGACAGATCTCGTGAGTAGATTCGCGTAGCCTTCTTGAGAAATTTTTCAGTTTTGAAGCGTGCTAACACGATTAGTTAGTTTTGTTTTTTCACTATGGGTTTTATTACTCTCAAAAAGATCGTAGTAAAGTGGCTCAGTGGTTAGTTTCACGAAAATTTCAATTATATTACTTCTTATTTTCTATAATCATGAAAATAACTCATAATGTCTGTTTAAGTTTCGATTTTGCGATAATAGTTTAAGTTAATCCTAATATTATAAACAGTTCATCAATAACATATTCTTCCAAAATTAGTTTATAACAGTGACTTGATTGAATTCAAATTTTACGTATTTCGGAAATGACGATAAATTAAATTGAATTATAAAAATATGAACAGATATTTCCTACAGTTAGTTACTAGTCGGTATGAGATAAATATTTTGCGTAATAATATTTTACTATGAAAACTTGTTTTTAGTTTATGACTAGGATGAATAATGCTTGGATGAATAAAAATAAAATTGTGGCTCAATGTCATCTTAATATTTGAACTTTTACATTTCAAACTAAAAAAATTACGTTGGTTATTATTTAGTACAAATTATTACGTACAATCATAATACTACAAACTTCTTAGCCTTCGTAAAATCTCACAGGAAATTTTGCAAAACATTACTTAAAAATAGATTTAATTGCAAAAAAAAGTGAATTTTATGAAAGAGAAATGTAAGTTATTTGCATAATTTGAAAAAGGATTTGAAGCAAGAATAATTTTATAGCACGTGTGTATACATTTCATAAATTTTCTCAATATATAATAAATTGCATAGAAATTTTGAGTTTCGATTACCACATCGAGCATTAATATTTTTATCCTCAATTCTACAAATACTTTTGCGCGTTTTCATATAAATTATATAGTTTCAAAACGTATTAAAAAGATAAACGGATCTAAGTATAAATATGTACTGTTTCACCTAACTTCAACTCTCAAACTAATTAAAGGAATTAATAAAAGTCGTCTATATAAGCGCGTGTAAGATAAACTGGTATATTGGTAAATAGTAATTTTCGATAGTATGCGATGCAACAAGTATTGCTAAATTTCTATTTCAAAGTCATCCGAAAAGTACGAGTGAGAAAATATTACATGCTACTCATCTCGTTACTGTTATTAAAGTGATGCTACAAATTGAAAACAAAAATATCAAATCGTAAAAAAACGCTATTTTACGATGAAAGCTTTTACGTCTTGTCTTATGTGCAGTCTTCTTTCAAGGAGATGACTCATTCCATTAAATGAAAGCTTTCAACTATGCATTTATAGAGAAAACGGAACTGCTTTTCCTTGTTGTAGCAGCATTCACACGGGACGATACATTTTGTGGATTTCATACGAGCATAATGAGGAAGTGAATGTAAATGGAAAACCAATTTCGGCATATTAAAGATTGCGGAAGAACAATCGAACGTTTTCGAAAATTAATTCTGATCGTATGGGATAAGAAAAAAAAAAATTAATAAGAGTGACTGACAAGAGTAAAAAAAATTCAATTTTATTGATATTAACAAGAAATAAATAAAAGCATGTGTATGTTTTGTTTCTAGATCTTGAATTATTTAAAAAATTTGATACAGTTATATGAATTTGAATAATAATTATTATTATAAACTAAATCATATACGGATAACTGCGATTCACGACTTTAAAATAGTATTATCGTTCAAAGTCGTAAAAATCAGTTTAGCTTGTTCTTAAGCAATATAGTATGGAAAATTGCTGCCGCACTACTCTGCAAACGTGAAGCAACAGTAACAAATTTTTTCATTTTCAACAATTTTTCTTGAGCGATAGCTGATGAATAGTTGTCAAGCGAGCTCGTTTTAAGGTTTAATATAAATAAACAATGCGCATTCGGATTCAGTTCCAACAGACGAGAGAATATTGGCAAGAAGATCACGTGGCGAATATGCTCTCAATAAAAGAGCTTCTGGCGCGTACCGCGATTGACAATGTCCAGCGCTGTTTTCGCAATGCTTTTTTCGTTTAAGATCCTTCTTATTAGCTTGTCTTCTGCGCGCAAAATTTCGCAAGAAAATTCTTTTTTATTGCAAACTTATCTACCCGTATAAAGAAATGAGAGGGATAGACTTACAGGATTATGTGTATTTTAAATGATGGAACATTTACGTGTCTTTTACACGATTGGAATGCAATAATACATACGCTTAAATGCTACGCAAGATGTGTGTGTAAGTGTAAATGTATCTTTGTATGGATGTGTACGTAATGTAGGTGGCATATCTGTGCAATATAATACAAGGTGTGAAATGTACATGAGTTGTCAATTGTCTGCACTGCCTTTTTTACGAGAAAGGAATTACAAATACAAAGAGGAGGGCAGTCGTATATCAATTGGCTTATTATTCGCGAGCGCTTGGGTAATTTTCTTCTTCTTCGTTTCTTCACTTTTTTTTTTCTTGAGGGTCGTAAAAAGTATGACGCGCTCGAGCACTTGACTTTTCTTTCTTTTTTTTCATTTTACGTTGGGCCAAGGTCGCCGCCACTTACGTTGTCTCTTATTAGTTTTACCTTTTTGGAAAACATGTTCTTGAAACTGCACTGTTTACCGACAATGCAAAATAGGCAGTTTTACATGGCAGTTACGTTCATTTGTCTTTTTCGTTGGCAAAAAACAAGTTAACGAAGACTTGACGATTTGTTTCTATAATATTGCGACTTTTTATATTGTGCTACGTGAATAAAACGAGAATGGAGTGTGCGTCATGGATCTGCGTAATTACTTCGCGTATGTAGAGGAAAAAACAGAGTTGTGATAGATTACCATAACTTCATATGGGTCAGGAGATTATTTTATATTCATCTCGAGAACTGCATGCATAGTTATAAATAATATAATGCACGCAATAAAAGCATCCATAAACACAAGCATTCTGGCCCACATTTTTTTCCCTTTCTGAATCCTTTTACTATGGCGAATATTAGGAAACATCATAAAAATGGTGTTACATCTATTTTAATAATACTTTACTGCGGCCGATCTAAGATAATAAATGCAAATATTCCTTAAGATGCAATTTCTGCAGAATGTGAAAATAAAAATGAATAGAAAATTTTGCATATTAACTCGGATTTGATCAAAATATATTTTTCCAAATTCATCATATTTTGATATTAATGTGTTATTATCGATTTGAAAAATTTTAAGAATAAAAAATCTAAAAAGTAAGGATCACAGTAGTAAAAAAAGTTGCTTGAACGATTTAATCACCTCGAAATTCAATAATTTTGAAATACGTTATGAAAACGAAAGAACCGTCAAGCAGCTGATCAAAAAGTAAAAAATAAACAAAATTTTGAGAGCCGATCTCTTTAAAAATCGTCAAGTCTTCACGTCAAACAGAAAGAAAATTAAAATTTGAATAAAATGTTTCATTTACTAGGAAACAGTACTTTTCCTTCAGCAGGTACTATCCTGGCTTCACCAGATGCAACATCACCGTCAATCTCATTGCCAGTAATCTCAGCCTCGAGAGCCTTTTTCTTAGCCTCAACATACTTGATCTTGTAGTAGTCGTTGTATTTCGGTGCAATTTTATTCTGCAACGGTTCGTCAAAAGCGTTCTTCTGTTTCTTAAGGAAGGTCTGAGGTGAATTGTTTGCAAGCGTATTTATAACGCCCAACCAGTTTGGCCAAGTGAATGGATTAGCACCTTCGTCGACGATCTCGAATACTTGATACGAATGACTTGGTGCTCCAGTCGTGCTTGTTGTTGAGGTCGAGGTTGGACTTGACAAGGTACTTGTTGATATTGTTGTTGTTCCAACGGTTGTAGAACTTAATGATGGCGGAGTTGGTTTTGTTGGGACGGGTCGATTCAGTTCTGTGAAAAAGTGAAAAATCTTACCTTGCTTGAAATCTACAAATATTAATGAAAAAATCCAACGACTTATTAACATACAATCAATAATAAATTGTTTATTAGCTTTTCTGAAACGAGTGTCTTTGTTTGTTAATGGCGTTTGATCAAGATCTTGGTAGGCGAGGTAGTAAAATTAGTTTCGCCAACGTTGAGAAAACACTATTATCAGATCTTATTAAAAAGTAAAGAATTAAAAAGCATGAAAATATAATTTTGATTATATACAACAGGTAAAACGAGAGGGACAGCATCGAACTAATTTACACGACCGCGAAGAAAGTTGCAATATAAAGATTCATTACGACAGATGTTTTCGTGATCATTAAAAACTCATATTTTATGAGCTTGTCGTCTGGTGGTTTCTTCCGTTCTTCATTTGAACCGTAAGTTGTCGGCATAATAATAAAATATCATTCATGTTTGTTGCATCGCGCTTATCTTTATTTTTGGCTACAAGAAAAAAAATGTTATTTTCAGGCAGGAATGAGTTTTAAATTGATTCCTCGCCATCATCAAAAAGATGACTCGCGGTATTCAACTCAATTATATTCCGCTTTAATGTTGTCGAAGTAATAAATTGCAAAAACACGAGATTTCATCGATATTCAGAACGCTTTTATCTCCGTACAACAATTAACTATTTATTTGAACGCTTTTAAAAATAAGAGTACCACCGTTATGGAAATGGTCATTACAATATGATTGATAGGAACGCTCTCGTGTCCATATTTAGCCATAACAACGCCGCCACAAAAAAAAACCGACAACGCAAATAGCCACATGCTCTTCCGGCAAGCGGTGCTCACGCAGATCACTGGATATAACTCACGCAGGTGATCGTGTATGGAAAAAACAAGACCTTGAAGCATTCACCGCGAGCGGCCGAAAAGAAACTAAATAACCGCATGCGTGCCGGATATGCAACCTTCGTTCAGCGATGAAGAAAAAAAACGAAGCTATAATGAAACTGATGCACTTGAAGCTCTGAAAAGTATGGGTTCAGGGTCTATTGATAATTTGCGTATAAAAAGTACAAAGAAATTGGCTGTTAAACGCGTGCAATAGATGGCGCGTCTAACAAACGCTTTTACGTTAGAGCGACATCTTAGCTTGGTTAACGCACTCACCTTGATGATGTCCAAAATGAAGAGGCCGCTGCTCGTTGTAGTACTGATATACATGTCCGTCGCCGTTGCCTGCATGTCCATTGAAGGTGTGCTGTGGATTATTGCCGATGATCCACTTGGTTAAAGCGTTGAAGCCGAACGGATTACGATAAAATTTATGATGAGCACGCTGATCTGCACTCGTAATCTGTTGCTGCATTTGATCGTTGTAGTTTTGCAGTTGAGCGAAACGCCGACGGTGCAGTTGTTCGATGTAGAGACGCTGTTGTTCGCGTTGGGCATCGACTCGTCGACGAATTACCTCGCGTTGTCTTTCACGTTCAACCTCAACTAAACGTTTGGCTTCTTCGCCAAGACGATGGCTATCTTCACTTGAAATCGTCGTTGGGTTGTCGTAACGACGCTGTGGTTGACGAGTTGGTCGTGATGCAGCACTCAGTGGTGTAGTCTCTTGGTGTTTATTTTGTTGACGGTTTTTTATCAGCTGACTTACAGCTTCGAGCGTTGTAATTGGAATCTGATGAGCGAAAACCAAAATTGGAGAGTTGATTACGCAAAAAAGTTTCGACCGTAGTATATAAATTAACGATCGCAAGAGCTACAATAAAAATGTATTAAATAAAATTGCAGACAGCAGAACTAGCAGTATGGGCAGGTTTATATGCGAACTGAAATAGAATGAACGCTATACAATTTTTTCCTGAAAAGCTCGAATCATAATTTGAACCAGCGAACTTTCTAATACGCCATAAATCTTTAAACAAATTTGCGTGCTGTCATTTCGCGAATCAAGTTATCAAAAGATTTCATGATGCAGCAACGGGGCGAAGCGCGTTAATTTTTTTTAACTCGCGAAGAGTAAATTAATTTGCGAGTGTAGATCGGATTCTGCATCGTGTTCGCGTGCGTATCGTTGACCTCTAAAGAGGCATTTTAATCATTCACTCGACTACTCGCCGCGAAATCAGAGCATGTTATCTCGTACAAGCAGAATTTAGATACACACATATCAATAAATAATTCAAGTGCGTAGGCACGCACGAGATAGAAAGTTTAGCGAAGCATGTAACTACGGGATATTTATCCGCTGTAACAAATTCCGGCGCGCGGAAGAAACGTACGCACGTATGCTGTGGGAGCCGACGATCAAGAAGAACAGCGACTCATTTCGAACTTTATAAACTGTCGTATTCGAACCGTGCGAAATCTAATAAATGATTTATATCCCGCTCATGAGAATACTGATTGATACTTATCCTTTTGATGGCGCTGTGTAAGCCTTATATAATTTTTTTATTCGACCTACCTTCAGCACGCTATCGATTGTTCCGGCATTCTGTGGGGACCAATTCTGTGCTGCTGTTGACGTCGACTTTATCGCTTGGATAGGGATCTACGTGCGGAGAAAATTTTTCTTTAGAGTTATCGTTGCTATCAGGGATGGCAATTCGAAGGTTGCATTCGTGCAAACATATTAAGTGAGAACGAGGGCGTTAGTTTTTATTTGGTGCGCGGGTGTTTGGGTAACGTACTCACGTTGAATATACTGTCGATGTAGGACGCACCGTTCTCCTGGCGCTTCCCGCGCGCTATTTCGTCATTCTGCGGACAAAAAAATTAACGATTTCCGGCTTAATTTACATACGCACACCAATTATATGGTACTCCATCGTTTTTCAAACATTACGAGAAAGTTTATCTAGGTGCTGAGATGATTTACAAGTATTGCATGATCGGAAGGTGTCCGCATCCAACATTTCGAGACGTAGTTGTAAAAATACTAAGGATTCTATTGTGCCGGTTCCACAGAAATTATACAAATTTTTTGATATAGATGTTTACTGCAAAGAAAGGAAAGTGATATTGGCTGACGTCAGACATTTATACATGACGTAAAAGTCATTTTTTTTGTTTATATAAGGGCAAGCGATAATAACGAGGACTAATTTTCTTTTAATAATGCAGAAACCCGCCCCGGCAATTGCATTTCAAACGAAAAAAATATAGTAATGTTATATTATTACCTTACTCCCGTAGGTATAAATAATTTATAAACAAAATCAAAAACTGAATTTTCTTTAATGGAAAAACAGAAACTTCTCTTATCTAGTCTCTTTATCCGCATACGCGAGCACAGTGTGCGAATTTCATTCTAGTTTATAATTTATGATATTCCGAAATGACTTTTAAAAATAAATTATTGAGAGAGAGAGAGAGATAGAGAGAGAGAGCGAGAGAGAGAGAGAGAGAGAGAGAGAGAGAGAGAGAGATAGACAGACAGCCAGAAATAGATAAATAGATAGATAGATAATTCCTTGTGACTAAAGCTTTGAGCTTGAAAAAAGTTACGGTTTTGGCGCGTAAAATGAAAAAAATATTATTTATAAATTTTTATAGTATGATGGATATTAAAATAAAGACATAGGTAATCAATATGACCTAGAGTACTTTTGTATTTTAAATAGAGCAAAATAGTCCATTCACGATTAATGTAAGGTTGAAATTTTGGCAATTTAATTGATTGAACATACATGGTCGTAATTTATGCATTGCGCATAGTGGAGACTAAAGAATGCTATGATCATTTGTAATAAAATGGTATATCAATTTTTTTTAGTCAATAGGTTTTTAGTCGACATTTTTAAATGAACATTTCGATGAAAATACTTTTTTAGTTCTCGAACTTTAAACTTTCACGTATTAAACGGATACATTACGCAATTTGACAAATTGAAGACATTCGAGTATTAAAATGAATAATCATATCTGATATCTCGGATACAGTATATGAATGTTAGTTTATAGAACGTTTTAGTATTTGTTTTGAGCCTGTACTTAAAGCTTCTTTGATTACATTAGATACGATATAAACTTTGTTTGTCCATTAAGTCGCATCATTATGAAATGAAAATTTCAGCAATTAAGATCATCATGATCAAACTGTTTACTTTATTGTTAATCCCTATGGAGAAGTGAAATGATAAATTTTAGAATTTTACGAGCCCAATATATTTCGAACCTCTAATAACGGAGGTATTAACAATTTTAGTATGATATCAGTAGATATCTAATATTGCAGTAGAGAAATTTATTGATAAGCATTCCTTGTACAATTCAAAAACATTGATTAATCATTAAAATCTAGAAATAAAATTGCTAAGTGATTTCGCGCTCGAAATTATCCTATCAAATTATCTATTGTAGCGTGATCGCGCATGGCCTTGCTATTTTTTAAGATTTATGTCGAATAATTTTCGTCATATGTAATTGACCTTTAAATCATTTTTGTAGCTCAATCAATCACCGCGTCTCTTTCGTTATATGTTTGCGCGCCAATAAGAGTTATACATCTCATCGCTTGCGAATTTTATGAACTTACTGAAATGAAGAGTGGCTAATTATTTTCTTGTGAAATTTAGATCATGACTGAATGAAATTGAATGTTGAAGATAACCAAAATTCACTGCAAAAAGGTCCGAAAGAGCGAGATAATTTTCAATTCATCATAATCAGATAATTTGATTGGGCGCATTGGAAAATTTGATTTGGTAAATTAATTGAATTAATTAACAGATCGTAATCGTAAAGTCAATGAATTACGAAAGCATTGCCAAGGAAATTTATGAAAACAAGCATAGCGCAGCATCATTAAACGTTTTTTCTCCCCATAGGCGTTTCTCAACAAACGTGACTCTTTTAGGTAAGCATACTCGCGGTAGCGAGCAGGAGCGCGTCAACATTCTCCGTGTATAAAAGATATTCCTTTGTAAATAGCGCTTAAGAATTGATTGAATCGAGGCAGCTTTTTGTCGACGTTTCGATTCAATTCATACGATGCGATAGATCACACTCAAGACAATAGCAAATTTTCTGGTCAGTAGCATAAAGCATATTCGGTAGCGTTAAGATGACAAAGCGAAAAAATTACTCAAATTGCTCACTACCGGAGAATGATTTGCGGATTAGTTGTGACAATGACCTCATGGAAGTGTTTGTCAACACACCGATACATGTTTCGAAACCATCAGCCGTGTAAAATTGCCTGAAAGCAATAAATTCAATTCGAATTTTGCTTTAGCAAGAATAAATGGCTAATTGTGAGTTGAACTGTCAAATGAAATAAAGGACTTGGCGAGGCAACAACTCCATTTTCCCGGTTAAAAAAATACCAAGACCAGAAGCATAATTTCGTCACACGAATACATTGATTACAGTTAGCTTGCTCGAAAATTTCCGAGAGTCATACAACAACAGCAACTCTAGACAATCAAGTCAGCAAGTGACATTACAATGATATTACAAAACTCCGAGAGATCGATAGAGGAAAAGAAAAAGAAGAAAACTATGTAGGTTGAAATTAATACAGTTGCAGCGCAAAGACTCGTCTGAGCAATTTATCAAAAAAAACCAGTCGGTAATAATCGACCAATGTCAGTCTCTCTCATGGATACCCGCAAGTTTTTACACGGTAGATGTACAAGTTGGTAGTTGTCAACGTTTGATCGACGTTAATAAAAATTTATAAATAGGAACGTCTCTTGCTTTTTTCTTTTTCCTTTTTTTCTTTTAATTCCCCTCAATTCTGGCTCGCGTCGCAATGAGTGACATTGCAAAATTCTCACGATCCGTTCTGAAACCTTAATTACGGGGCTAAACATGCTGCTGCTCGATAAAAATTTGTTTCCTCGACTAACCTATTAAAATGGATGATTGAGTGTATTAAGTCACTACTACTGGATTTTCCGACGTGGAGCCCGCGCCGTTACATGGCCGTGCTTTTGTACCGGTTGATTATTATCGAGCGCGCGGCGCGTTGCTGTAGCATGCACCAAAGTGAAAATGAAATTATTAATTCGAGGATTAGTAAATTTAATAGACTGATCTAAAAATATAGTATCTTGCATATCAAGTAAATTTAAACTTCAGATTTCTTTTCACACTTATACCGTGTCTTTGTCACCGTTTTTCCCCCCTAAAATTAGAAATTACGTAATAAAGAAAAAAAAACGGTTGTAGCAGCGTGTACAAAGAGCTGTGATTAAAGTTTTACGATTGTAATTTCGCTGGCGATATCATAATCCCCGTGTTCCTTAAAAATATACAATAGATGGCGGCGGACTTTCACGAAACATGATCTGGAAAATCGTATCATCAACCTAGGAAATGGATGGCTATAAGCGCTTATGCGTTGCCAAAGTGTATTGCTTTTGATAATACTTGTTTTGCGGTATAGCGGCACATATTAATTTAATATTGGCTTAGTCAGCGGCAAAGCCGTTACCACGTGGTTACAAATGTTAATGTTGTAAATTACTGGGCAGGCGTTAAAGTTTCAACAGTAATTGCAAAGTGCAGCGCTGATCAACTAAATTCATTACAAGATCCTTATCAGCAAGTCGACTGTGTGCAAAACTAATATGATGATTTCATGATATTGGTTTATATTTTGCTTTTAAAAGTTAGGACTAACGGTGTTTTTTACAAAAACGTTTTAAAAGCAGACATTAGATGAAATTTGAAAGTTAAAATTTATCAACTGCAACTAATAAATTCTGTCATTCAACTGTCAGTTTATAACATCGCTGCTCGTGCCAATCGAGGTTTATTTATAAGAAATGATTCAGTCGTCATGTCACACTTACAGCTCGTAATGAATTCAGGCTAGGTACCAACTTCAAATTCAGAAAAGCGTAATTAATCATTTAGAGTATGTGTACTCGTAGACGAGAAAAAACATTGGCCATTTTAGTTGAAAGAATTTAATCTAATAAATCTTAAGTTTTCGATTGGTCCTATACTACTACATTCCTAGGGCAATTATTTAAGTAGTAATAGTCGATTACAGCCAGACGCGCATTTCGACAAAACGACAACAATAAAATTAAATGTTTATCGTTCAAGTCTAATTCAACAAAAAAGTGGCGTAAAATAATTCAGCGTACAATCAAATTAAGATTCCGCAGCAAAACGGTGGCCGAGAGCAGCGGCGCATTCACACTCTATTTGGCACTCTCAATCGATTTCTCTCCCTCAATCTCCTCGTTATAATCCAGTTTACGATTTCAGCACATCACGCGCGGGATGAACCAATCACTTGGTCGTCATCGCTAGCGAGGAATAACTCCTTTTTCTTCTTCTTGGCAACTATATAAACTAGATTGTATATAAAAAGTTCCAACAAATTCCTTTGTGTCGCGTCCTCGCGACTTGCCGTGAAAGGACGCTGCTGCTGCCGATGCATACGCACTTTCACTTTTGCTGCTGCGGCGATGCTCCCAACAGTTCGATAATGCGGCTCGTTTTTTTCCCCCAAAGAGAGAGACTAGGTTGTCATTAAAGAAAACGCGAGCAAAGTGAGAGTTGCTTATCGACCATAAACCACGATACACGGGGCGAGCAACGAATTAATGACCCGCATTTTTAAAGGTCCTCAAACGCAAAAAGCGTGCGAATTACCCAAATTACCAGAGCGACATGTGCACCAAAGCCACATTTTTTTGTTGTATTTATGTTAATTTATGTATAAAGACTTGAAAAAAATTACTCTTTTTCTATAATTGACGTATCAAAGTCCTTTCGTGCTTCAGACGCTGATTACATAT